ATAGATAGATAGATAGATAGATAGATAGATAGATAGATAGATAGATAGATAGATAGATAGATAGATAGATAGTTGTGATCATATTTCATTCATTCATTCATTCATTCATTCATTCATTCATTCATTCATTCATTCATTCATTCATTCATTCATTCATTCAGCCCTCGTACACCTGAAGATGTGAAATCAACAGCCTGCTGGCAGTGACGTACTATATCATTCGTTCTGGACAGGGTATCTGTTCCACCGAGGGGTGAAATGCGTGTGTGATTGGGGGGGTTGCGGGAGGGGGGGGGTCCTCTGCAGGGAGCGCGGTAGAATCGGTAGGATCAGCGTGTGCACGGCCGTCGGATCTCCGCTTCCTGCCGTCACGCCCACCGCTCCGTGCTGGGGAAAAAAAATCAGGGGGAGGAGGATCGACGGCTCAGCAGCTGCAAGTGCTGCAGTGTGAGCGCAGCAGGGGGACTCGGACACGAAGACAGAAACACACTGACATAGACGAACACACGCACGCACACACACATAATATCATCAGCTTTATTTATTCCCGGTGAGGGAATGGAGAGACCTGCAGCCGCAGCAGCGGCAGCAGCAGCGCCATAGAAAGCGACGCAGGCCGAGACATGGAAGAGTATCTGCGGAGGGTCCAGAGCAGAGTCGGGGTGAGTTAAAGAGCCCTCAGCGGCGTTCACACCTGAATGTGTCGATGAAGGATGAGATCTGCTGCGGAACAGGCTGCGTTTCTGTTGCTGGGAAAAAATAAAATAAAAGGCGCACAGCAAAAAGCTTTTTACGTCTACCTCCCCACAAGCACCTGTAGATCATCTGGAGAGGCGAGTTTGGTCCAAAGCACAAAGCATGCTGTGTTTTACAGGAACATCAGAGTCAGTGTGCTTTTCTATGAGAAGCTGTTTTTTAATGGAGGCATGACATCAACAAGTTTATCCAGTGGCTCTCCTTCCCTGCTATATGTGACTGTCTGATACATAATTTGCATATTTATTTATTTATTTGCTGAAAATATTCAGATATTCTTTCAGAAAAAGAAACCTTCATGCAAATCCTCAAACGAGACAAACACTAGAGCTGCATTTGCTGCCTGTTGGCTCTCACATTATTGATAAGCTGTCTTCTTCTCTGGCCTTTAGTCTGTCAGGGCTGCACACAATCACATAGATCCTGCACTAATCCTGCTTGTTTTTATTTTTATTTTTTGAAAGGCTTTAGCGTCAGTTTTAAACAGTGCTTGTATTGATATACCCACACTAACTATAGCACTACCTCTAGCAAGTGCAGAAACTTATCAGTCTGTGGAAGACCAATACATTTACTTAAGTTGATTTTTTTGTGTGCAATTTTCCACACATTACAATTGAAAAGCATAAGCACAAGTCAAGTATTGTTCCACTTTTATGTTCACATTGACCTATAACACATGCAGTGTAAGGTATCTGTAAAATCAAATTATTACTGATTAAAATTTTTTGTGATGAGGTAGTAATTTAATAGGTATTGGTACATATTTAGTGTTTATACTGTATTTAAGGCAAACGTGAGGAGTCTGATGATTGCTATGCAAGGCTATGATTGATATTTTAAAGTGTTCTGTGGGGAAACATGAACATTAAAGACCATAGAGTTAAAACTGCAATCGTGTTTCAATTGCAGTTAGATTTAGTCAGTTTGATCAAGCCAGAAATAACATTATGCACAGTCACATGCAAAATGTTAGTTCTTGCAGAAAGTATCATAAACGACTAGCTACAATAACACCAATGTTTAGCCCAATTTCTGTGAAAACCACTTTGATATACTGTATTCATTTGGTTAAGAAAAATCAGGTGTGAGCAGACGTCATGATCAGTTAGTGTTCAGAGTACAGGTTTGGGATAAGCTTCTAAATTTTACATCTTTATCTGTAAAAAGATCAGAGTTACAGAGATTTTTGTGTTTAAGGTCATTGGCATGTTTGCTAACTTGAAAAGTTTATCATCTTTGAAACTGCTGAGCTAAGTTGTTTTAAGATGGCACTTTGTTATCGACCCTGTTTCTATTAGCTGTTAGCTTGTCAGTCCAGTCAGAATCAAATTCAGTTCCTCCAAACTGAGGCTGTTTAAATAAATATATGGCAGACAAGAAATTAGTTATAATGGAACCTTTCAATATAACCTCAAAAGATCTGAACTATTACCTAAACCAGTGCGTTTCATAGGTGACTAAAAGGAATTGTAGTGAATATCGATATATAATAAGAACAAATATTTTGCATTAGAACATTCGGAGGAAAACGCTATTGACAAATCCACCAAACATGTTGCTAATGTTAGACCCATTTATCCACTCTGCAGCATCCAGCATCTTCAGTTTATTCCTGGAAATGAGTGTTTATGAATACGATTCAAACACGCACACGAACAACCTGCGTGAAAGGGAACATTTAAAGAGAAATTAGGACCTTTCATCGTCAGTGTGCTTTGGCGTGAAAATGGCGAAGGCTGACGAGGAGCGCGGATCAAAGAGGCAAATTGGCAGATCCGAGCGCAGCGGGGTAATCGAGTGATAAGCAGAGCGACTGATGAGCGACTGTAGATAAAGTGTAACACATGTCCATTTCCTTTTGCAGGCTTTCCCTTTCTTCCTGCTGTTCTTCGGTGGGAACTCTTGACGCTTCACTCTTTTGCTGACCACTCTTTATCCCTGTCATTCTTCCCCAGATCCACTCTCTTTGTGGATGGCCCTGATCCAGAACACCCATACCCCTAATTGGCTTGGCTCTCTGTACTTACAGAAGCCATCTCATCTCCTGCTCAGTTTTTTCTCTCTATAGGTCCTCATTGTTTGGCACAGAGCTGAAGCTGTCTGCTGAGTGTACACCCAGCATTGGTCCCTCTCAGTCTGCACACTATAACATATACACACGCATAACAAGGCTTTTTATTCTACCTCAAATAGATTATTCACCATACGTATGTGTCTTAAGGTGCTCTAACATTCGCTGCTCTCGTCCCTGTGAAAGTTTACAACATTTCATAATTGCTGAGGCATAAAATACCTGCTGACTAGTCAAACAGTATGTTTTAGTGTCTTTTAAGTCTGCCAATGTGAAAATTAAGTTAATAGCTGAACCTAGCTTTCGATAGATGATGCAAAAAAAGGCTGTGTTTCCAGGAAGAGGTCGCTCGTGCACTGTATTATGTAAATAAGCCTTTTCGGCTGCAGGAAGCATCTCTTCCTCACATTAGCTCATTTGCCTTGTGTAATTTTTAAACCCACATGTGTTGGGAAGAAACTCTTCCCCTACAGGGATTTGTCTTTTCCAGGACTTCGGATGAAAATAATATTAAAGGATTGTATGTGCAACTAGTTTTATATACGATAATGTACTAAAAACAAGCACATTTCTTATTTTTGAGCACTAAAAACTGAACATTCTAACATTAGCAGAGAGATCGAGAGCAGCTGAATGTGGTAAGACAGGGAGGGAGAGCACTTAGATTGAAAGATATCAGATGGTTAATACACTATCACATGCACACACACACACACACACACACACACAC